GTGTGTGTGTGTGTGTGTGTGTGTGTGTGTGTGTGTGTGTGTGTGTGTGTGTGTGTGTGTGTGTGTGAGTGTTTGAGTGTGACAGTGTGTGTGAGACTCACACTAGGTAAGACAGCTAGTCTCACACTAGGTGAGACTCAAACTAGGTAAGACAGCTAGTTTACTGCTTCACTAACCGTGTGTGAGAGTGTGGGTGTGTGGCTCTGTGTGTTCTGCTGTTGTGTGACGTGTTTTGTGTGGTTTCAGTGCCTCCGCACACGCCGTCATGTGACGTGCCCAGCTCGGCTCTGACGGGCTCTCTGGTGCAGCTGCGCTGTAGGGACCGTCACAGCATCCCAGCCGCCATCTACACCTGGTTCAAAGACAACCGCGCTCTGCCCATCCAACTACCCAACGCCACATACACCATCGACGAGAAGACCGGCGTACTGGTGAGTGTACACACACACACACACACACACACACACACTCACACACACACACACACACACACACACACTCCAACACGAGGATCATCATCATCATCCTCGTGCCGGCACTGGAGAGAACGGCACGCATGCTGCTGAACACACGCATATGAGCCATGCGCTCACACACACACACTCACACACACACACTCTCACACACACCACAAGCACACAACCAAGGCATGCTTCACTTCAGTTTGTTTGAGGAAGCATTAGTTATAACTTTATACTACATTTTAATCTGTTGTCTGTTTTTGAAGTGGCATTTATTGTAAGAAAACTCTTTGAATGTGTCATTTGATTAACCAGTCATGATTACTATACTGATTCAATTCACTGACTGAATCAAGAATCAGTCTGAGTGATTCAGTGAGTCATTTGAGTGATTCAAGAGTCCAAACCTGAAGCAGTTGTTGATTCTCAGCCGGCTGAAGATGATGATGATGATGGTGTGTTTGACTGTTCTTCTCTTGTGTTGATGTCAGACGTTCCAGAAGGTCAGCAGAGCCGATGCGGGTCAATATTACTGTGAGGCCAGAAACGGGGTGGGACCCGGAAAGAGCTGCTCGGGGACACGCATGCAGATTGGTGAGCAGTGTGTGTGAGAGTGTGTGAGAGCGTGCGTGTGAGTGTGAGTGTGAGTGTGAGTGTGAGTGTGTGTGTGTGTGTGTGTGT